CCCCCCCCCCCCCCCCGTCCTCCACTGAGAAGGGATCTGAACAGAGCTTGGAACTCACTAGGCATTTTTCCTAATAACTGATGGATAACTATGTTATATAACAAATGTAACTTGACAAGGAATAACTTCACTCCTTTTGAAGTATAATTGAGCTTTTTAATTACTGTTATGCTTAAGGGCTTGTGGCCTCTTTAAATGGTGGAGAAGTGTTATTCCATGGCTCAAGTGGTGGCTTTTGCTATGCTTCAAACTCCTTCATCATGCTATGTTGTGGGTGTTGAGAGAACAACAAGGTGAACAAGAAAAGAGTGTTTTTGTCATTACAGACCAATTGTTTTTAGCCTGGAATGAGAAAAGTAACTTTTGGGGGCTGTAGCTCCCACAGTCCCAAAGCCAGCTTGGCCACCTACCTGTTCAGTCTTTTTGCTTGCACAACAGTCTGCTGTATGAGGGTTTTCTAGAGTTTGAACAAGATCGTATCTCGTACCTCCTTGTGCAAGGTGGAGTACCATTGTCTCCACTTCTGCAACAGAGATCAAGCAGTACTGTGCTGAGGCACAAGATCCTGGCCAAAGAATCTTGGGGAATCTTAAATGATAACAACTTTTATTTCGGATAAGCTTTCACTGGCTCTAATCCACCTCTTTGAAGCAATCAAAGACATAGCTGAATTTCTTGTGTCTAAAGCTGTGCATGTTATACAGGTCTGATGCACGTATATCCAAAGAATTAGCACAAAAGCTTACACCAAATAAAACAAGTTTTAAAGGTGTCACAAGGCTATGTAGGTGTTGATGCCCTTTAATTTTAGTTGTATTTGAGAAGCAGAAAAGTAACGAATTATCTTTTTAAGCTGTTATCTTTTTAAACAAAAATGAAATGCTAATAAAAACTATCAACTTTTGTGGACCTTGAAACTGTAAATGTCTTTTTAAAAATCTTTTTAAGATGGTATTTGACTCATGTGAAATTGAATATAATAAATTCAGATTAGTCTAAAGCTTGTTGGAAATGTGATGAAGAAATTGGCACATATTATATGTGGTGGGATTGTAAATTGGTTAAGAAGTTTTGGAAACTGATTTTTAAGGAAATATGTGATATATTTGCTAAAGATATTGAATTTAACTCTAAAATTTCTTTGTTGTCAATTTTTATGAGATAGATCTTGATTATTATTCGAAGGAATTTATTACTAACTTTATGACAAGTGCTAGAATATTAATAGCTAGGTTTTGGAAAAGAAAAAATTATATTATATTAGAACATTGGTATGGTGAAGCATGGGACATTGCATTAAATGATACATTGAATATTGAACTCAAGATGAAAAGAGGGGAAATAAGTTCCAATATTTTTTATGCTATTTGGGGTAGATTTGTTGAATTTGTATTAGTAAAAGGAAAGGGGAAAGCCTCTAAACAACAATCTATACAATTTTGGAAAGGAAGTTTGTAATAAAAATATTGTTCAATGGGGTCCCGTGGGTATGGGGTGCACGGTAGAATTTAGTGTATAGTAAGCACTATTATTTGTATTTTGTACTTGTTTTCTGTTTTAAAAATAATAAAAATATAAACTTAAAAAAGAAAAAAACTGTAAATCACTCCATGCTCTGGATCAGAAATAAAGTTTCTCCGACAGAATGTTAAGGTTTTAAAGGTTTACAGTGTGAGATATTCACAAAATATACAGGTAAATCAAATCAATACTTTAAAAAGGAAAGATAATGGGGTATCTTCACACAGCTTCTCAGATACGTAGTATGTCTGCTGAAATTTTGGCATACTGGACAGGTTCTGGAGATGGAAAACCCTTTGATTTCAACTTTCCGGTAATTACCACAGCTTCTTCTGTTATTGCCCCTTCTCTTTTGCAATTAAAAAAGGAGAGTCCAGTATCTTGCAGTCTTAAATATGCTTAATTAGAACATGTTTCATGGAATATACAGTACTGCTGTGCAATAATGTTTAGTCTTGAGCTGTTCTCGTGATATAAGCTTCTCTGATACCGTGTTTCCCCAAAAATAATTCAGGGTCTTATATTAATTTTTGCTCCAAAAAACGCATCCGGGCTTATTTTCAGGGGATTTTTTTTTTCATGTACAACAACCTACATTTATTCAAATATAGTCATGTCATCTTCTGGTTGCTGCACAATTGTGGAGGGTGGGGGTTCACTTAACTGGGGCTTATTTTTGGTGTAGGGCTTATTTTCAGGGAAACAGGGTATGTACCTTTTTATGTAGTGCAGTATCTGATGAGGGTCGCTGTTGCAGCTACAGCAGTGCCAGTCCCTAGCCATGCTTCATAGGATCAAACCAAAATGACATTACTAAGCTATGAGAATAGGAGGACAAAAGCCTAAATCATAAAATGTACTAGCATAGTAATTATTGCATTGCATCCTCCATGCTTGTTCATTAACCCAGTGACTTGTAAACAAAGTTGGAAGGTATCTGTGTGACTTTCCTGCTCTTATCTGAATCCCTCACAACAGACTTGTCAATAACACTGAAAGGAATTGAGCCCAGTACAGTTGGCTCCAGTGATGCTAAGTCAGCTACTTAAATGTGAAGATAAAGCCAGATTACTGTAATTATGATATTTGGCACAGCCATCTCTGAGCTGTGAAATTCATTCCACAACATTGAAATAATTT